CACACTCACACACACTCTCTCTCACACACACACACACACACTCTCGCACACACACACTCACTCTCACACACACTCGCGCACACACTCACACACTCTCGCACACACACACTCACTCTCGCACACACACACACTCTCGCACACACTCTCGCACACACACACACACTCTCGCACACACACACACACACACTCTCTCACACACACACACTCTCACACACTCACTCTCACACACACACACACACACACACACACTCTCGCGGTACAGTCAGATGACGAGTCATGATCATGATTATAACTATAATTCTAAACCCGTTTCCAGCCACAGAAGTCTAAGCTGCAGCCGAACCCTGTGGAGTTCAGCATCACTCCGGAGACGCTGCAGAACGTGAGAGAGGTACGGAGAGCTCGTCCTCGTCCCGTCTGCGCTCTGCTCTGGCTCTGACACCTGTCTCTGTGTTTCAGAGGAGCTCCTTACCCCGCTTCCTCATCAGGGGACATCTGGACGCCACCAGCTGCGCCATCACACGACCCCTGACCGGAGAACTGCTGCTGGAGAGTTCAGAGGTCACCATCAAGAGCATTGAGCTGCAGCTGGTGCGGGTGGAGACCTGCATCATGCACACAATCACTCACACACACACACACACACACACACACACTCTCTCACTCATTCACACACACACACCCCACGCCCCCAGATCTGCTCCTGGCGCCAGTCTGCAGAACTCGCTGGCTCTGGTGTTAGTGTGGAGCCCTGCTTTGGCTCAGACGCGTGTGTTCTGTGCTCAGGCTGCGCGGAGGGATACGCCCGAGACGCCACTGAGATCCAGAGCATCCAGATCGCTGAAGGAGACGTGTGCCGTGGCCTCTCCATCCCCATCTACATGGTGTTCCCTCGCCTCTTCACCTGCCCCACTCTAGAAACCACCAACTTTAAAGTCGGTAAGGGTCCGGTTTACATTGTCAGTGCTGGATCTGTGTGTGTTTATTAATATTCAATACAGAAATCATCAGGGGCCAGTTGTTCAAAAAAGTGTAATCTGGATCAGAATGATCTGGATTTGGAAATCTCATGATTTGCTATCCAGGATCAGGTAACCCATCTTACTTTTGTGCTGGTTTTTCAAAGCAAAACTGGATTGGATCACCCTGATCCAGATACACACTTTTTCAGATTTCCAAATCTGGATTACTAGTGCTCTACGGAGCCCCTAAAGGGATGGGATGGGGGAAATAAATGCCAATGTTTTGCATTGCATTTACACAAATAACTACTTCTGACTGGTTCATATCTGATGATTGTGCCAATGTCGTTTACAATCAGTGATTAAAAAAACTACTTTAAATTGGATATATTTTGTTTGATATTGACAGCTGTTTGGGGATATATTACGTGTTAAAATGTTGTATTTTTTTGACCAGTTTTTAAGTTTTAATACATTTGTTCCTGAAATCCACCCTTCTGCTGGGATCAGAATAATCCTGTTTTTTTGGATCAACAGTATCTTACTAAAACATTTTGAACACCACAAACTGAGGATTTAATCCAGATCAGATTTTGTGATCTAATCCGAATTCAGAATCCTTTTTGTTTCTTTTGAACAACCCATTTTCAAGATTTGATCCAATCCGAAGTCCACAACCGATCAGATTGCTTTTGAACGACTTTCTTTCTTCCTCTCTAGAATTTGAGGTGAACATAGTGATCGTTCTTCAAGACGATCATCTGATAACGGAAAACTTCCCGCTGAAGCTGGTCAGAGTTTGAGAATCTGAGCTTTCTGAGAAGTTGCCATTTTCACATTAATTTACATTCTTAGACTCTTTTAACCATGAGTGAATATTTACATGCGTTTCTGTCATAAAGTGTTTATTAAAATCCTCTGCTCACCTGTGAGATATTGATTCAGTGTCATTTAAGGGATTCCCAAACTGTTTTTGTCAGCTGAACCGCTTTGAGCTGAAATATGGACTTGAAGACTCTGAGAACATTTCATTAATTTAACATTACATTTCACGCTCCTCTGATGACAGTTAATGGTCACATGACAGGCAGGTAAACATAAGATTTTACTAAAGATTTAAGATTTTTCTACTAAAGACTGGCATACAAGTGACGAGTCACTATCACCTAACTGGTGGTTGTGCAATAATTTTTCTTTTTTTTCCATTTAATCATTTAATCACCGAGAACAATAATATATTGTTTGTTTGATGCGAATTACATAAGAAATATCACGCATGCATTTTTATTATAGAAATTATTATAATTATAGAAAATGGCGATCCATGATGTGCGATAATATAAAATGAAATATATAATAAATTAAACATTACCTTAACATTATCATTAGTTTCTTCTTCTCCAAAGTGAATCGCATTTTTGAGGGCCTAAACATGCTCCAAAACTCATGAAACTTTGCACACGCGTCAGAACTGGTGAAAATTTTACATTGATATGGGTTTCAGAAGTGGATGTGGCAAATTGGCTCGATAGCGCCACCTGTAAAATATCAACGGAGTGCGCCTCGAGCTACGTTTTACGTACATGTGCGAAAGGTGTAACACACCAGTACCTACAAAAAAGTATCTTGTACCAAATCCAAAACCCATCAGGAAGTACGTTATTTTGAATTTCCTGTATGGCCCCTTAGCTGTTATTAATTCACTGTAAACCACGGCTTCTTGGGTCTTATTGCTTTAGTTTAGCCGCTTAATTACCCCTAAACATACCTGGGTATGTCACATAACCTGCTTTCTGGAATACCCCCCAGATTTGAAACACTATGCATACACTTACTGACTCGTCTCCTAGCCACCGGGACAAGACCTCAGGAACCAGACAAGTCCTCTGCACAATCTGACTCTGCTGCAGCCTAGAATTAAGCTGCTGGTCTCGTCTGGCCAGAGGAGAACGGCACACTACTTCCCTGTTTAATACTGTAAAGCTGTTTTGACACAATCTGCATTGTAAGAAGCGCTATATAAATAATGGGGACTTGACTTTGTAAACAGTCACAGAGGAAAAGGCATGCATCGCACACTAGCAGATGCTCCGATCACAACAAACTCACGCAGAAACACGGGACACGATAACAATGTGTTCCAAAATCAGCTCAAAATATCAAACGTTTGATCTCCTCTGACTGGACTGAATCAGTCTGTGACCATCAGACATGTCAGGATTTTCTATGAAATCTGCAGACTGACTCTGACTCTCAGCAACAACCTTCTCCAGACTGAAAATCAGGGCTAAAGTTGTGTAGTGTATTCCAGCTTTAAATGTATTATAATTATAGAAATAATAGTATTAAAAATTTTAGAATCAATTATTGCACTAAGAATGATATTAGTTTGACATGATTTCAATTATTTATTATCAGCTATCCCCCAGTCTGAATCTGATCTGCAGAAACACGGCACGAGCTAGCGTCTAGCGTCTAAAACACATCAACAGCAGGAGAACGCTTCTTTGGTTAAATGTTTTAATGAAGTAAAATTTCAAGGTAAAATGACAAGCAAAGGTAAAAGTGGAAGAGTAAAACCAGTTCACGTAATGAACTTTATTACAGGAATGAAAACACAGATGTGCCCTGAAAGTAAACATCACCGATTGGTCCTTAAGAGTTTCCGACACCCAAAACAAAGGTCATTACTGTGAGTGTGTGATTATGAAGATAAGACTGGTGCAGATGAACATACAGCAGGTCAGTTAAAGGCGGCGGCGGGTGCGTGGCTCCTGCGGTGTCTGCCGGGCAGCATGGGAAAGTCCTCCGGTAAGAGCGCGTGTTCTCGACAGGTCGGACACGTGCTCTGCTCCTTCAGCCACGACTTTATACACTGAAACACACACACAGAGCATCAGTCTACATCCCACAGCTGCCAGACGCTCAGCAGACAAGAGCAGAACCTCACCTCTCTGTGGAAGCTGTGGCGGCACTCCAGGACACACACTTCCTCTGGACTCATGTCCTCGTGACAGATGATGCACGGATCCTCCATGTTCAGCTGACGGCACACACACGTTCACATGCTCAGTGAGGTTAGACTTAACGCCTTTTTACACTGAATGCGAAAATTCGGCGCAACAGTGCTTCTGAATCGAAACAATAGATCCCTAAGCCAGGGCTCCAGACTGCGACTATTTTTTCTGCCTGTGCGACTAAATTGTGTGAGCGGTCGCACTGGCGCAACCACCGCGTTGTGCTGCCATTTCTGTAGCATATGAGAAACAGCAAAAGAAACTGAAAGCATAACAAACCGCACTTCTCGTTTAAACTGCGCAGCGCTTCGAGTGTAGAGCCTGGTTTATACTCGCTGCGTCAGGAGTCATACAAACATGCATGTATATATTTAAGAAAAATATGTTTATATATTAAATATATAATATAAAAGAATATAAATGTATATACACATGTAAATATTTTCAATATATATACTGTATGTGCATGTACTTATATATACATACTAAATATACACAGTACACACATATATTATGTAAACAAACTTTTATTTTGCATGCGATTAATCTTTTGACAGCACTAGTTATAAGCAAATCCATTAATATTTACATACATTTTCAAGTGTAGCTTGATGCTAATTGTACCTCTAATCATATTTTAGGATGTATTCTTGTAAGCATTATAGATAGTTTGTGTTTCTGGTGTAGAACCAAATTGAATGCAGTATATTAAGCAGCGGACGATGTTAAATCCATATACGAGATACACATCTAAGGAAAAATGCATGGTTGGTCAGCGCCACCTAGCGAGCAGGTGTGAATTAGCAGAAGGTGATCAATCGGAGTGAAAGCACCGTTCGTCAGCGATCCAGTGTGAAACGGCCTTTAGACGAGCACAGTGACTAAGTGTGTGAGTGTGTGTGAGAGAGAGTGTGTGTGTGTGATTGTTACCGCCAGCGCCGTGTTGCGATGTTTCTCCGACACGTTCTTCCACACGTGTGTGAGTGGCGGCCCGGTGGCTCTGACAGCGGTGTCAGACGGAGGAGTCATGTGACCCAGAGCGTCTCCACCCGCGAGGTTCATCTGCTCCTTCAACAAGAAGCACACCGTCACTCCACACACACACACACTCTCACTCACACACTCTCACTCACACACACACACAGACACAACACACACACACACACACACACACACACACACACACACACACACTCACACACACACACACACACACACACACACACACACACGAGACGGTTACGCACACGCATGTTCTCCTGATGGTCCAGGATGAGCTGAGCCACTCGGCTGATGACGTCATCATAGGTCAGCGTGCTGAGAGCGCCTCCACTGGACACACGGACCTCTTGGATGAACTTGCTCAGAACCCGCCTACACACAAACACACTGATCATCAACTCACCAGCGCTCAGACCACCGGAGGAGTTATCATTCATTCATGTTTCTGAAAGAATCTCTTCTGCTCAGCAAAGCTGCATTTATACAAGCACAGTAAAAACAGTGAAATATTACTAGAAATTAAAATAGCTGTTTTCAGCATCATTACTCCAGTCTTCAGTGTCACATGATCTTCAGAAATCATTCTAATATGCTGATTTGCTGCTCAAGAAACATTTCTGATTATTATCAATGTTGGAAACAGTTGTGCCGCTTCATTAAAAAGTTTCAAAAAGTTTGTGCCAAGTAAGATATTAAAAAAGAATATTTGTATTCATCAAGGGTGCATTAAATTGATCAAAAGTGCCAGTAAAGACATATATAATGTTACAAAAGATTTTTATTTTAAATAAATGCTGTTCTTTTGAACTTTCTGTTCATCTGTGAATACTGAAAAATAAAATGCATCAGTTTCCACAAAAATATTGTTCAGCACAACTGTTTTCAACATTGATAATAACCAGAAATGTTTCTTGAGCAGCAAATCAGCATATTAGAATGATTTCTGAAGATCATGTGACACTGAAGACTGGAGTAATGATGCTGAAAATACAGCTGCGCATCACAGAAATACATTACAGTTTAACACATATTCACATAGAAAACAGCCGTTTTAGATTGTAATAATATTTCAGATTTTTCCTGTTTTTGCTGTGATGTGCAGCAGCGCTGAGCAGAGTGTTTTCTCTCAGAAGCGTGCCTGACACTGCTGCTGCTGGTCTCTGTGTTGTGTTGGAGCAGCACCTGTTGTAATGAGGGAACATCATGTGGAGTCGCTCCAGGATCCGCTCGTACACAGTGAGGTGTGGCGGCGCTGGGGGCCCTTCAGGAAGTCTGTCTGTCGGTGTGCTGCGTCCTGTGCGGCCGGGAGGAAGTGACACGTACGGCCCGTAGAACTGAGCCGGCTGAGGAACCGGAGGAGGAAGCATGGCCTGCAGGACACAAACACTGATCAGAAGACGGGTGATGACCCTTGACCTTCACGTGACCCACAGAGTGAGCGGCAGCTCTCACCGGTAGAGAGGGTGCTGCGGGGATGCTGGGAACGCAGATATCAGGCAGTGAACAGAGTCTGGTGCCGCTCTTCACCTGATCCATCTGAGCCTCAAACTCCATCTGAAAGAACACACAGAGAAATCCAGAGCTCGTTAAGCAGAATGGATTGGGCTCGGTCTCAACACACAGCAAGCTGTCTCTGGTAACAGAAGGAAGCTCACCTGCATCCTGTTGATTTTGTCTTCAGCGTCGCACATGTGTTTCTTCCAGTCGTCTATGGCTGACAGCAGAGCACCGGAGGGGAAACTGCAGCACAATTAACATCAGACACATCTAGGGGTGTGCGATATTGGCAAAAAATATCGCAATAATTCCTGGGATTTTATTGATAACGATAATCAGACTATTTTGCTGAGTGTGTTATTGTGCTGATATCTTAACGACTGTCGTGGACAGCTGACTCTAAAGACATTATTCACAGCACTGACAGAAATTAATCTTTTCCAATAAGTTTCAATTGATTTTTACATTTTATGGGCATCTTTACCTTTATAAAGCCTATTTTTCTAAAAGTGCGCATCATCTTTTGAGTCAAATTCTTACATTTCATCAGTGAATTAGAATAATAAGACATTTGGGCTGTTACCAAGCAAATTAAATCAGTATCAATAAAATTCATCTTTGCAATGCAGAGGAAACACAGCAGCTGCATCTGAAGAGGTGTTTAGACGTGTTTACACAGTTTAATGCAGGACATGAATGCATTTAACCTGCAGTTACACATGCAGAAATGTTTTGATATATTAAAACCTTGAATACTGATATTTGAAATTATTCAAAAAAATGAAAAGATACTTTAAATGTGAAATTAAAACCGCCAGTAGGTGGCAGCAAGTCACTGTTAATAAGTGAGTGATTGCGATTGAACTGAATCATTTAAACGGTTGATTCATTCAGGAACGAAACACCGTCATGTTGCTCAAAACAGTGCTGTGGCTGTGTTTGGAGGTATTTTTGTTGGTAAAATAGAGCACTACAGGCAATATGGCGTCTAAAACATAAGTCTCTTAATTAACTTCTTGTTTATTGAACTGTTGCATAAAATCAGTATCACATTTGTAATCATGTTGACTTTTAGAGGTGAAAACTGGCACTCTTCGTGTGATATTGACTAACTTTCTTTCTGTGGTATTTTTACCCGTCTGTCTGTGTCTAACTATGTCTGTGTGCGTGTGTGTGACAGACTGTGCTCGCCGAGTGTGTGCGTCTGTGTGTGTCAGACTGTGCTTGCTGAGTGTGTGACAGACTGTGCTCGCTGAGTGTGTGTGTTTGTGTGAGAGAGAGACAGACTGTGCTCGCTGAGTGTGTGTGTGTGTCTGTGTGTGTCAGACTGTGCTCGCTGAGTGTGTGTGTGTGTGAGACAGACTGTGTTCGCTGAGTGTGTGCGTGTCTGTGTGTGACAGACTGTGCTCGCTGAGTGTGTGTGTGTCTGTGTGTGTGAGGTCCCCACAAGGATAGCAAACCAGACATGTGTGTGTGTGTGTGTGTGTATGACAGACTGTGCTCGCTGAGTGTGTGTGTGTCTATGTGTGAGACAGACTGTGCTCGCTGAGTGTGTGTGTGTGTGTCTGTGTGTGAGACTGTGCTCGCTGAGTGTGTGTGTGTGTGTGTGTGAGACAGACTGTGCTCGCTGAGTGTGTGTGTCAGACTGTGCTCGCTGAGTGTGTGTGTGTGTGTGTGTGAGTGTGAGACAGTGAGAGAGAGACAGACTCTGCTCGCTGAGTGTGTGTGTGTGTGTGTGTGTGTGTGTGTGTGAGAGACAGACTGTGCTCGCTGAGTGTCTGTGTCTATGTGTGTGTGAGTGCGTGTGTGTGACAGACTGTGCTCGCCGAGTGTGTGTCTGTGTGTGTGTGTGAGTGTGTGTGTCACAGAGAGAGAATGAGACAATCAACATGAACGGCGCCAAGTCTTTCACAAAACATAGCTAACTTGGGGACATCATAACTAGCCACCATATATTGATTTACAGTCTTAAATATCCCTGCGTCCCAATGTGCATACTATCCACCCTATCTGCCCTAAATAGTATTGAAAATGACTATCATCACAGAATTTAGCATGGATAGCATTTATCGGGTTGTGCGTCAGTAATAATGGTCTGTGGGGAAACACAGTGTTCTGTATGTAGTTACAGTAAATGGACTAAACGAAGAAATCGATGATTTTTTTGTATTCGAGTTACTCAAGGAATCGTTTCAGCCCTAGAATCGTGCAGTGATAGAACGCACTGTAAATGCATGCGCTCTGTAAGAGTGTTTTGTTTGGTTTTTGTGATATAACAACAAATAAACAACAATTCTGATATTATTCGCAGATGATATATATTGCACAGCCCTACTCACATCACGTGTAAATCACTCTGAACACCAGTGTGAGCCCTACCTGAGCGACGCCTCCGTCAGGTGTTTGACCACCATCTTCCCTTCAGAGACACTCATCCAGAGCCGCCGCAGCGCGTGTTCACGTCTGCTCTGCAGGACACACAGCTGAAGCACACACACACACACACACACCGGCGTCACTGCGGTGTCCAGGAATGAACACACCCTCAACACACGGCTGAAAGACTCACCTGAGCCATCATGGATCTCCTCTGGGCCTTCACACACGCGTCTCTGAAGCGCTTGATCTCCTCCTCCAGATGCAGACGCTCAGACGCACACTGGTTACTGCAGGACACAGATAATGCATCAGTATGACACACACACACACACGTCAGTTTTATTGATAGAGCACTTTTTATAGTACACATTGTTTCAGAGCAGCTTCATTTTTTCATGATGTAAACATCCAATTATTCACAACAATCCATTTAGAGCTGTGCGATAATATGGTTTACATTTGACAACAATATTCAAGCAGTTGAGATCTGCATTATGATATATATATCATGTGAATGTACTGTATGCATGTGGACAAAAGTGGATTTACCTACAGTAGCTGTGAGTTGGGGTTAGTAATGTGTTGCGTGTTTATATGGAAAGTTTTGATTCTGTAAGGTTTTTTTCAGTTTATATTAATTTGTTGTAGTGACGAGCCTAATTACTATTTAGTGATGTGCATCACAGATAAATGATTTCGGTTAGATTACCCACATAAACAATACAAGAGACATTCTCAAATACATACACACTGGAAACTAAAAGTTTAGAATAATTCAGTTTTTCAAAATCACTTCTAATCACCAAAGCTGCAATTATTTGATCAAAATACAGTAAAAACAGTAATATTCTGAAATACTATCTATAAAGATAAAATTTAAAACAACCATTAAAAAATAAAACATTCACCATTACTTTTTCAAAGGTTGTTTAATTTGAACTGGTATTGATGCAAAGGTTTATACTGTATAAGATAACAGGTGTTCAGACTCACCTGACATCCAGGAATCGTTCCAGTTCTGCCTGATACTCTTTATTCTTCACACTGATGTCTCTGGTGTAACTACAGAAAACACACACAGCTTCATTCAGCCGTAAAACAGCAGCTCACATGACTGTGTGTGTGTGTGTGTGTGTGTGTGTGTGTGTGTGTGTGTGAGAGAGTGAGTGTGTGTGTGTGAGAG